ACTAGAACAAAGACGAAACGTCGACTGAAAGACACTATCCACGAAGGAATATGCATCTTTAGTTCAGGGGTTAGAATGCCCACCAGCCACACCACATATGCACCATTGGGGTTTAATTCTCAGCCAACGCGTTCCTAAATCCCGTCTAACGTGGAAAAGAAGGTGGATTAGGCTGAGTGAGACTAGTCACGCTACCCTATAAAATAAGCCACTAAAAGCGCTACTGAAACTTCAAAGCGCATAGGTTGGAGTCCTATGTTCTCCTCGGGAAGCAAAAGGAATAAATGAACAAGTGGTCCGTGAAGGAATAAGGAGTTGTAGGTAATGAGAGATCAGCGTTAACTTCGCCTTGTATTAAATAAACAGCTTTGGTAATGGTCTACTCATCAGAAACACTTTATCATACTACACAACTCATCATTACTTAAAATTAATCATTGATTTCCCCGCCAAAACATACAGCCCACTGGAAATACTAAATTGCTCTAGATAGAGGAAGAGCCACACAGACAGAAAGAGAGGAAGGAAAGGAGAGACGTGAAATACAAACGAAACTTAGCGGTTCTGATTGATTACAAGTAGAAAAAAAAGGCATAATAATAATATTAATTCAAAAAGTTACGAATGACAAAGATATATACCACCAGTGTGTGTGTGCACTTACGTGTGTGTATGTTTATCAGTGAGTGAGTTTACAACTGAGGTATTTACTATTAATTTACACACTTAGTTCTAGTTTAGTCTATATATACTTATACATACATACATAAATGTATACACAAAGACATGTTTGCACTTAAAAAAGGCATTTTATGTTCAGATGCTATCGTTAGTACTGCACGTCGGTGGTTCAATGATAGAATGCTCATCAGTTACGCCACACATTTATTCCCAGTTCGATTCCCAGCCGACGAACTTTTAAACCTCACTACGCTGACAGTAAGCTTGTAATAAGGGACTATATGAGGTCGAAAACCACCGACATCTCCAATCGTAAAAGGAAATAACATCATTGCCACTGAAACTTCAAAGCTCAAGCTTCAAGCCTTATATTCTACTGGGAATGCAAATGAATGAAGAAAACTTCTTAGTACTAGTGTATTGACTATCAGTACATAAATACAAATGCTGGCGTATTGTACTGTCATAACTTTGTGTTGTTCAATACTGTTTCAGATAATGTTGCCTCTGATGATGATGATAGTGAAATCGTAGAGAAGATTTCTTGTATTTTAGAGGCTGTAAGACTTTCTCACATTCACCTCTTGTGGAAAACATCACCACTAACTTTAGTGTATGAAGTGATGATTGGGGCGGTGCTGTCAACGAATTCAAAGATAATTTTTGTAAACTGAATAGTCAGCGAACTAAGTAACTAAATAAGCTAAGCTGACTAACCAACCAATCAGATAGGTAACTAATAGCTCCACTATGAACAGGATTTTATTTTGATAAATCACACAGTGTAATCCAGTAATATTAACTGATGACATTTCAAGCACAAGCTATTGCCAACCATAATCTTATCAGGTTACTCACTCAACTTTTTCCCTTTATTTATATACATGTGTGGAATTGACTAGATATTTGAATAAAAATCAATGTGGGATAATATACATTCAGAAATAATAATATGAGTGTTGTCGATCAATAACAATCAGATTGCAATTGATCGATCAATCGAATTCCTGTAAAACAACGCTTGAAAGGTGAATATTTGTTCGACAATTCTGAGTTAACTCTTGCGTAACTAGTGATAATATAATTCTCTCTTTCTGTCCCCGTCTCTTTCCCGTCTATCATTTTTTCTTTATGCCGTATATCTTCTCTATCATAGTTACAATAATGGAATTTTTAATCTGTTCTCACTATCACAATAAAACAATTTCCACCTCCGATCAGCAATTGGGAAGCCTGAAGTATATTGTATGTAAGAAACTATGCCAAATCATGTCAATCACATGTAAATATTCAAAGTGACGTTTATGTCTAAGTAACAAATTTTAAATGAATGGAGAATTTCATCATGAGCTGACATCAGTTGGAGAAACACTGGAAAACCTGGGAGTACTGGACAACTGTTTCTTCCTAGTCTCTTGGTACCCTTCACAGCACGAACCCACCGGAGTTTGAACCCAGGACCTTCCGGTTACAAGGCGAGCTCGTAGACCACTGAGCCACTGGGACCCGTTCCAATGGTCCTTGAATTCTAACTTCTGCCGATTCACGACATAGCGCGACCACTTCGCAATGTCTTCTTCAATGAGTTACTGCCTCATCTTCGACCTGCTGTGCCCTAATGGTCACGGCTTCCCAATAGAACCCCAGGTTAACTGCCTGAATAGGGCCAGTCGCTAGTCAGCATCAGATTAACTTTCAGGTGTTGGTTTTGTGGGGATTTTGTTTGACTGAATGGAGGGTTTCACCATGAGCTGATATCAGCTAGAGAACCTCTGAAGAGTCCAAAACTAGGACGAAACAGCTGTCCAGTACTCCCAGGTTTTCCAGTGGTTCTCTAACTGATGTCCGCTCATGATGAAATCCTCCATTCAATCAAATAAAATCCTTACAAAACCAATACTTGAAAAACAAATTTTAATTGGTGGACATAGTGTTGTTATCGTATACCAAGCTTATCGTATTCCAAGCTTATAATATATATAACTAAACTACTTATAATAATCAGTTGGTAGTATGATACTGTCGTGCATTTATACTTGAATTTCTCGATTGCCATCATGGTATTAAGCAGATCACACAATTTAATCTAAATAATTTCGGTTACTGTGGTGAAATTTTTTTACCTCTAACTGTGTAGATAACAAGCTGCGAATTTGTAAGTCTGCTTCGAACTGTTAGTTTGTCCCGAAACGAGTACAGCACAACAAATCGTCTAATCTTTTTCTTGGTTGATAATATCTAGCAGTGGATTCGAAAATAAGAGTTTCGTCCTCTATTCGAAGCTTGTCAGTTGGGTGTACCTGTATCTCAATGAGTCGTCATGTCTAACCCCCACCACTCCCCATCCACAAAGATCGAATCAAAACACTAAAGCATCACGAGAACCACCTTTTGTGCAACACAGGTATCAGTTGTTATTTTAATAAAATTACCTTGACAAAACTATTCCCCCCATCTCCCCTGCGGGATTCTACAGTCAGCCACTAATTAAACAAATAAACATGAGATCAACGGCAAAGTATCATCAAAGTGTCTGTGATAAAAGAGCCGACATCAACAACAGACACCAAACATCTCGATTTGGTTAAATTAATCAGAAAGGAAATTCAAAAATAACTTCAATATATGGATAACTTCTGATAAATACATCACTATAAACTACATTAGTAAATTAGGCATATGGGTCAACGAGAGTGGTTTCTATCTACTTATATTGTCTATTATTACTATCATTATTATTTTCAAGAGTTTTATTTCTAAGGATTAGATTTGTTTATACGAGTTTGATCACGGATTGATATCATTATCATTATTAGTTATAATCTCAACAAAAAACACTACATTTAATGGCAGTACCTCTGGTGATAATAATAATAATAATAATGCGGAAGAAAATGAATCGAAATATGAAGAAGAAGAAGAAAAAAACAATACTACAAACTAGTTATCTACTGAGGAGTACTCAAAGGTATTATGCAACGGTAGATTTACTTGTCTATTATTTACACAAACGATACCTAAAAATTGCTTCAACCTTAGACTCTCTCTCTCTCTCTCTCTCTCTCTATATATATATATATATATATATATATATATATATACATATATTGGAATGGCAGTCACCTCTCTACCTCACTCAACTTCATCTACTTTGAAAAGGCCTTCGATAGCGCAGCGTCGATCGAGAGATGATTTGGCAGCTACTTCGCTACTACGGGGTGCCGCCGACAATTATACATCTCACCCAACAGTTGTACGACAATGCTGCATGCCAAGTAATCCACAACGGGAAACTCACGGAATCCTTCGAAGTGAGGACGGGAGTAAGGCAAGGCTGCCTACTATCCAAGATGATTCTCCTGACTACAGTAGATTGGATAATGCAACAGACAGCGGGCAATGAGGAAACAAGCATAAAATGGATCCACACAAAATACTTGGAGGATCTGGACTTCGCCGATGATATATGTCTGATTTCCTACAAACTGAAAGATGTGCAAGTGAAAAGCAACAAGTCGGCAGAAGAAGCATCAAAGATAGGACTTCACTCCAGGTGAACATAGAGAAGGTGTAGACAGAGGTGATGAAGATTTCTGACCAACACCAACAGCAAAAACAACGGACAACAACCAACATAAATGGGAGGAACCTGAAAGAAACAACCTCCTTCACCTACCTGGGAAGAATAGTTTCAACTACAGGCTGACGGAACTGATGAGGATATCAAAGCGAGGATCGGGAAAGCAAGACAAGCTTTCAATACTCTCAAGTCTGTGTAGAGGTTAACAGCACTCAGCATGAAAATGAAAATAAGATCCGAATTTTCAATTCCGATGTGAAGTCAGTGCTACTATACGGATGGATCAGAGACTTGGCGCGTCATAAAGAGCATCTCAAACAAACTACAGACCTTCATTAACACTTGTCTTCGCTCAGTACTCAAGATCAGATGGTCGGCCAGAGAAGATCAGCAACAGGGATCTCTGGCAATGAGCGAACCAGCCAGGAACCGATTGTGCAACAAATAAGCAGGAAGAAATGGAGGTGGGTGGATTGGCCATACTCTGAGGAAACCATTAAGTGACATCACTATACAAGCCCTCGAGTGGAACCCAAAAGGGAAGTGGCGAGTTGGTCGTCAGTGCAAGGGTGACTTGGAGGAGGTCATGTGAAGAGGAGATGAAAGCGTATGGGCAGACTTGGAGCGGGGTGAAAAATCTAGCAGAGAACCGAAGGCAATGGAGACGCGCGGCTGAAGCCCTATGTTCCTCTAGGAACTAAAGGAAATAATATATATATATCATAACTGAAGAACATACCAGAGGGTTTTTCCAAACTATCAGTTATTTTATTCTGTTTTTCGAATTCTCCACCAGACAATTCATGATTTAAAGATAATTTAGCCTGATCTCTACTCTTTGTTCGACTGGGTAACTTCATTGCTGGTAGAGGAACTGTTGGTGGTATTGTTAATGCAGATGTAGGTGTAGGTGCAGGTGTTGTTGTACTTGTCAGTAAACTGCTTACTTCCTCTGGTCTTGTATCGAATCTACGTTGTTTTGCTGTTTTATCAAATGGTGTTATGAGATTTGTCGGTGGAGAAGAGTCGAAAAACGCCGTTGCACCACCACCGCCACTGCTGTTCGTAGTTCTTGGAAGCCAAGAGATAGGTGGAGAATTGGATAAACCGGAAGCAGCGACGGCTGCAGCCGCGGCAACTGCCATAACAGCAGCAGCAGGATTAGAGGGGGCTGATTGGTCTGTTGTTGTTGTTGTTGTTATTGTTGTTGTTGGTATTTGATGGCCGCAAACACCACCAGCAGGAGCAGCAGGATGTGTTGACATACTGGTAATTTGATTCTGTAGACTTGAAACACTCGATAACAAGGCTGCAGCTGCACTAGCTATTAATGCTGGATGACATGAATTCGATGATGGTTGAATAGGTAACTTTTCTGTTGAATTCAGTGGTGCTGATGGTGGTGATGAGGCTGATGTACAGTCGTTAGGATTAGTTGGGAATACTGGTAGAGTAGGGGATAAATTATTGTTATTTGATATTTGACTTGTCAATCCATTCGATGCAAAAGTATCTAACCCTGAAGGACCTGAAGTTGACCAACGTGATGCCAGTGCATGCACTGCGCTTCGTCTATGATGTAAAGGTAAATCACGTAGCATAGACATGGTACAATCTGAAACAAGCATTTGATCTGTACACCATGATTCAGCTGTACTAGTTGCTGTACTACACACTGGACTACAGTGTAAAAGACTATCACCACGATAAACTGGATTTAAACTTTGATTTTGTGTTTCATAAAATGAGGCTGAAAAAATGACAAATAATAAGTAGTGAGAATGAGATATACTACGAACACGTGTAAGTATTTGAAAATAATCTTTACAACAGATAATAAACTAATTAGATTTATTTTTTGTTTACGCTATTTTGTATTTGTCGTTGCTGATTGACTTTTATTGGACCAGAAAAATCAACCTCCAGTGACATATGAGCTCCTGGTAGGGATGATTCATTGATTTGTGACAGTTAGCATGATGTTATTTGGTTGATGTTAGCTAAAAGTGAAATCCAACACTCGCGTTTTTCATCCTATTTGGAAAGTCATTAGATGGATGTACCTGGTAGTTGAGTGTGTGATGGCATTATCTCTGATACTCGAACTCAACATCCCTTGTTCCATACATTAAAGCGAGCATTTCGGTGTAATACAAATCAGTCAACCACGGGAAATACAAAATAAATTATGCAGACAGTAACTGGTACCTGCTGTGCAATAAGTGGTTTTCATGAACCTCTGGAAAGTGATTCGAAGCTAGAAACATTGGGTGCAGTGTTCCAGTCTCGTTAGGAGGTAACATCATCCCTCACTGTGGAGGGATGCAGATACATCGAGCTCGCGAGACCAGGATAGGACGAAATACGCATCCTGGGTTGCAATATCAGCCCCCATAAGTTGAATAAAATATAGTTAGGGAGATGAAAAATTCCACTTAGTTGAGGTAAATGATGTGATGTATAACCTACGTGCAATGTTATTCAACACTAACTTTCATTTTATAACTAATTTCTCGAATGAATATTCCTCACAAAGTACAGCATAAGCGTTCGCATGAACAAATAATACAAAACTGGACGGGGACTATCCCACTTAATACAGAAACACCCTCATTGCAAATTTCCATGACGCATTAATTAGTTACTAGGGCGTTCTTTTAAGGTCTCCCTACAGAATGTCAGTTGCACCATGAATAACTTGGTGGTAAAATCAGGGACCAAAGCTAGGTTTAATCTCAGAGGTGGAAAAATCAATCCATTGCTACGCCTTGCTAGTAAGCACAAGATCAACTGTCCAAGACTTCCTGCTAACTGCCTCCAACAGCCTAACGTTAGTTTCCACCGCTAAACAGCGATTCAACGTAACTTCAATTTTCAGATACTGTTAGAATGGGGTTGTAAAAGCTTTACTGACAGCATAAGAAAATTAGTTAATTTCTTTGATTTATTGAGAAACACGTCTAATTCACTGACTGTTTCGTTCCATAAAATGAAATATCAGTAGAAACCAAATACTAATCAATCACATTGTTGTCTCGTTCCAGGCTCTTTGTCAATGCGCACCAATGACACCAAACCCAGAATCTTCATGTTGAAAGACTAGTCAGTTGACCACCCACCCAGACATCATGTCAGAATCTAGTGACCCTGGAATTCCAATTTCTGTCATATGTTTTTCAACTGATATCGACTTGCGACGAAATCTGCAATGAACAGGTATATTAATACTACACTCTTACAGTTGAAATCTTCACTCAGCAGTGACCTTACCATGCATTATCCTTTCTTGAAATGTCTCAAATATGGTCTGAAAACAGTGGAAAACACGTATAACTTAGAATGTGAGTGCTTGTTTTCTTTCCTCTTTTTTTTAATAAACTGGTGATAGTGATGTCCAACATAACGTCTTAATATCTCCTGAAATAGTTAGAGCTTTAACTCAGACATTTAACAACTTAGCATAATCACTTATAAAACTGAATATTAGAATGTGATGAATAAAGATGAATGACAGTAGGATTCCAACAGATGATCTCCAAATGATAAGTCTAACGATCTACTAACCCAACAGTTAAACAGGTTATCAATTTTATTTGGTAGATGATGACTAGCGGTGAAATCCAGAATGCATATTTCATCCAGTCAGGAGTTGTCGCTTGAATGAAACTACAACCCTCAGTGTGTGATCGTGTTCCCAATGAAACTCAAACCCGACACCTACCTTTTCAAACACCAAAGTGTTATCTACTAGGCCACTCGAGCCACTCATCAATTTCATTGAAATTATCTCTGAGAAATGCTGGTTCAAATCCTCCTACGGTCTAAATTAACATTTCACCTTCAATCACCACACCCTTTACCATTAAAGTATAGTATGTCAACCCCCTAAAAGGTATTTCAGATAACCTTATCAATAAAAGGGTTAACACAGAGTTAACTTACATGATTCTATATCTGTCTTTTCAGTTAATTCCATTGTCCCATTTGCCATAGAGTTGATTGTGGCATCTACATGTCCATTATTTGTGCTCCAATTAAATGCACCTAGTGGAAGCATTGACTGAACATTAGTAGTACACCTTGGCACACATGTAGAGACAGTAGGATTGTTCTCAGTAGAAGCAACAACACTAGTTGAACCAACAGATGGCCAATCGAAGGGAGAAGAACAAGACGAAGTACTACTACGTGCTCGACTAACTAAATGTCGAACCATTGCATTTAAACGCTGGGATTCCTTACGTACCTGTGTATATATAAACGGGTGAATAAATAAAATAGTATGATATAAATCTTACTATAACTTACGCGTTATCAACATGCATCAACGAATCAGTGTCCCTTTGTGACCGTATTTAGACTGAACAAAAACCTTTAAAAAATGTTGGTTATTTTCTAAAAAGTTGTATAGCTCAAAATTATGACAGTAAGACAGCATGAAGAATTCCTCGAACACCTAGACTAGAACTCCAAGGTGGGAAGATTAACTACAGAGCTCTTATTTTCCTTCTTCTAGACAACACCTCCAGGGCTTAATTAAATGTATGAAATAAGATTTTAAAAATTTCCATGGATAACATAACAGTCTGTCCTGATGACCATGACTGCTGAGACTGATTACCTTGACTATACTTTCTTTTTATGAATGGACTAAGATGCTATTCCCTTGTTGCTTAGACGCTCAACTTCCAAACAATGAATTACACACTCGAAGCCTTATCAACATACAAAGATTTCAGAAAGTGTTATTAGCCATCAGATAACTGTTGCTGTTAACCAACCTCATAGATATAAAAGTATTCGTTGAATAACATTCCTACCGTTAGACGCTATAGTGCTGGATTTTACTTTCAAGTGTTGATTTGTACGAATTTGATTGGCTTGGAGTTTGATCGTCATCAGCCGACACTTCATTTAGAGGAACACTGAAAACTACACAGTACTCTATAGCTGTTTCCTCCCCAAAGTTTGGAAGTCTTAATAAGCAATACTCATTTATGATCTCACTCTAGGGATAGATTTTAATAAAAAGAAACCACCAGTGACTGAGTATCACAATATATCCAGGCGATAAATCGTCAAAAAAAGAAGTAGAAGTATAAAACCATGGATTCTACTGACTAGATACCTTCCATTAAAGAAATATTATGTATATAGCCTGGTGATAATCTTGTTATTTAAACACGGCGGATGTGCATGTCAGTGTTTTCCACTCACATGACTTTATTCAGCACTGATGTCAGTCAAATATAAACACAGAAAAAAGTAAGAAAACAGGATTTAATGAATTCATCAAATTTCGATAGAACTCGTCAGCTGAATACTCTACATACACGGATATATATACTTTTGAAATTACATTGGGAGATATAAGACTGATAAGTACAAACTACATTGAATTAGTCATGCAGAAAGACACGTGCGAATAATTCACAGGTCATGTTCAAATAGATAAGGGGAGAAAGAGTATGAGAGAACAAAATTGAGATAAATTGCATTACGCTTCCATTACATCACTTAGATAAACAATTAGTCGTTAGGGAATATAACGAGAATTGCAAACAGACTAATATCAATAGTAGTAGTTATAACAATAATAATAATAAGAGTTTCAGGATTTCATCTGAGCTGACATTAGTTAGAGAACCACTGGAAAACCTGGGAGTACTGGACAGCTGTTTCGTCCTAGTTTGGGACTCTTCATCAGTACGCACCCACTGGGATTCGAACCCAGGACCTTCCGGTTACAAGGCGAGCTCGTATACCATTAAGCCACTGGGACCCGATCCAATGGTCCTTGAATTCTAACTTCTGCCAATTCACGACATAGCGCGACCGCTAGCCAATGTCTTCGGCGAGTATTTGACGAAACAGCTGTCCAGTACTCCCAGGTTTTCCATTGGTTCTCTAACTAATGTCAGGTCATGATGAAATCCTGAAACCAATCAAATCCCTTCAAACCAACACTTGAATAATAATAATGGTGTTGAAGTGAGTTAAGATAATCTTGCTGATGAAACATAGTTTTATATGAATCAAGAATAATAATAACAATAATGGTAATAATAATAACAATAAGAAGAAGAAGAAGAGGTGAAATATAGTAATTACAAGTAGAGAATATAAGTAAACGTATTACCATGGTAGATTCAGAGTCACGACCATCTCCTTTTGTATACAGAGAGCTGGTTTATAATTCGAATTGCACAAGCCTCTGCAATTGCAAGCATCTTCTTGTTTCTTTGTTTGCTGACAATGGTGAATGACTTGACGCGTCGATATCATGTCCGTAATCCACAAGATGTTTTGTTATTGAGGATTTTGGCACTTTGCACTCAGCTGTTTTCAACCATTTTGGCAAATGCTCCATCATGCGAGTAGACAATCGCCTTTCCGTACGACCTATGTATTTGCTGCCACAAACACACTCAAATTGATATATGCAGTTTGAAGTGTCGAGGATTGGCGACTGGTCTTTCCCAGATTGTTGAAGCACTCGCTTGGTGGTGTTAAGGATAACAAGTTTTGCAGCATAAGTTCTCTTGATGGCTTTGTCGAGTCTTCGTTTCACTACTTCCTGTACGTCATCTCCTTTGAACGGCAAATTGATATAGACAGGTTTCTTTGGAACTGTTTGAATTGTTTTGCAGGGGGTAGTTTCTTTAGAGTATTTATTAATGAACTTCTCAGGATATCCATTCTTAGATAAAATATCCTTCAGAGATTTTATTTCATGTTCAATAGTACTGTCAGAACAAATTTTCGTGCTCTATTGAACAGTGTTCTGACTAAGTTCTTTTTGTACTGGATTGGAACAAAGCTCTTGAAATGCATGTACTGTCCTGTCCATGAAGACTTTCTAAATATAGATCTTTCGATTGTGCCATCATTCATTTTGGCTAGAAAAACGTCTAGGAATTTAATAGTATCGTTTTCCTCGTGTTCTACTGTGAAATTGAGATTTGGATGGCATGAATTGAATTTATTAACATGTCTTCCGCTTTTGATCTGCTTTCACAGACAATAAAAATGTCATCAACATATCTTAGGTATACATTTGTTTCTTTATATGTTGCTGTAAAGTACCGGTTTCTAGGCGTGACAAGAATAAGTCGGCGAAAAGTGGTCCCAAAGGGCTTCCCATTGCGACACCATCAACTTGACGGAACAGACGCCCGTTGAATTGGAATTGGACATTTTTAGTACATAAAAGTAGTAATTTCCTCAATTCCGATGTTGGAATGGGTATGTCTTCAGCTTCTTTACATATGAAGTCGATAGTCTCAACGACTGGCACATTTGTGAAAAGGGAGGTAACATCGAAAGAGACCAAATGCTTATCGGATACATTGAAATCTTTAATTTGATTGACAAATTGAAATGAATCAGAGACTATATGTGTTCCGAAACGTTTCAGCAATGGCTGCAACAGTTCACATAGCCACTGTGCTAATCTGTGGTATGGTGAGTTTATCATAGAGAGTATGGGTCTTAACGGCGCTCCTGGTTTGTGTATTTTTACGCGTCCGTATAGTTTTGGGATTTGTGACCCAATCGGTTTGATATTTCTATATGTGTTTTCGTCGATGTATTTATTTTTGAAGAGTTGTCGTAGATGCTGCACAATTTTCCTTTCGGTTGATAACGTTTGGTCTTTTGCATGGTTATCCAATTTGAATTTAGATTCATCAGAGAGAATTTGATGCATTTTTTCGAGATAATCTATCTTGTTCATTAGCACTACACTTTGTCCTTTATCAGCTTGTAAGATAACAAGATTTTTGTCTTTTCGAGCTTGTTTAAAGATCTCCAGTGTTCTTTGGTGATATGCGACTTTTGATTGGTCGGCATGACTCGAAATTGATGAGCAATATCAACCATCTTTGCTTTCAACCAGCTTTCGCTGTCACTGGACGTGGCATGTAGCCCCTAAGTTGATCATAAAGATTTTCGAATTGGCATTCGATATCAATTTGCTTTATCTTTTCATGGGAACACAGAATTTGAATCCCAATGACAGAATTTCTGCTTGTTCTTTTGATAGGGAAACATCAGATAAATTATGAACATAATTAGATATATCCACTGGGAAAATTTCATTTGGCGGTTCCGGATGAAGTGACTTCTTCAGTTTCTTTTCTTCTGATTCTTTTGTCTTTTTTGATGTGGCATGCAGATATTTAGTGAATTTAATATAATATACGAAGTTTAAGTCATTTTGTACACTGATCAGTTTGCTTGACAATAGGCATAAATTACTGATTTCATCTGTTTCAGAACACAAATGTGATTAATACTGAAAACACTTCTGGTGATTATTGGTAATCGATTCAGGTGTTGTGTAAATCAATCAGATCTATCGCTGGTGTTTTGTCTTTCAAGAAAATATAACCCTATGTTATGAGAAAGTTCTCTTTTTTGTCAATGGTTTGAGACAGTCGGCAGAATGCCTTGGTACTAGCGTTTCATGCTTTTTGACACCTATCAGAATGTGGTATCTACAATTCTGAAAAAAGTAACGTACCCTCTGAGATTTATATAGTGACTCATAATTTCCTTCATTTTACTGTTGCACAATTCAGTCCATCCCCTCACCCCATTATTCAGAATTCTTGCAGAAGACATTGACAAAATCCACTAGTTACACAACTCTTGTCTGTAATACACATCACAGCTTGACTGATAGGATTCACTTAGAGCCATTAAGGACTAAACGACGTAAGACAGCTTACTTTTCAAATAATTCTCTCTTTTTTGTCAAACAGAGGCTTTCTGAGGAGGGAATGCATTCTCTCTGTGCTAAAATGTTGAATAAGTTCAAATCATTCAAATATCCTGTTTTTCCAACCACTAGAAGTAAATGATTAATGAATTGTGTATTGAACAAATTTGAGTACATTAACCATTATTTAAATCCGAGTTCGATTCCCAGCCGACTCACTATTGAACTACCCCCAGTTCATTAACCAGTAGGGGGCTAAGAGGGGAAGTTGGGTGTACGGATGTCAGAATACCACAGTGGCCTGTACCACTGAGAAGATTTATCAGTAGTATACAATGAGATGTTCATTCACACACAAAAATATCAAATAGCATGGAGATAGGTTTGATGTCAGAGAAAGCAAATGATTCAGCGTTGCAGGGATACAACATGGGAGACGTGAAAGCAGGACAAAGAAAAACAATATAAAGGACAGAAGTAGCACAACAAGGCAGATCTGTGCAAATGGTGATTCGTAGATAAGATGTACATAATTTCGCTTTAAAAAGATACCGAATGCCATGTAACCATCCGTCGTTCTACCTGTACACCACAATTAATGGAACTTCAACGATTAAAACTTGAAGTCCAATGTCCCACTCGGAAATACAATAAGAATGAAAGCAAAAAAACCACGTTAACATGTTAACATCATGCTGCATATCTTGAATTTGCAGAAGTTAATATTCATGTGCCAACCGTTGGATTTCGTCCCAGTAGCTGGATGGTCAATGAGCTCCTCATATTACATGCAGTTTCTGGGTTCGATCCTGGTGAGGTTATGGATGCTTGCTGACGAAGTGTCCTAAGCAAGATGTCCAGTAATTCCCATCAGTTTTAAATAGTTCTCTGGCTAATGTGAGTCAGTTCGTGATCAAACTTGAAAACAATCAGATTCCTACGAACCAACATTCGGAAAGTGACTATTATGGTTGTTTTTTAACTACTCATGAACCAGTTAGTAGTATAGAATATACAATTTACTGATAAGAAATAATTAGAAAGAAGATTGATACATTACATGAATGCATTATCTAAAGTTTTCATGCATCATAACAGAAGTCAAAATAAAAATGAATGTGAACAGTACATAGGATGTCATATGAGTGATAAGAGATATTGAGAGAATAATTTAAGGTGCTCTGGAAAAAAAGATGAATCAGTCTAAACCTTAGGGAAATATTTTGTTCTGTTTGATATTGTTTTGCCCTCTGACTTCAGTTTTCTTTCACAAGAGATAACGTCAACGTGGAAATAAAAGCTACGCGCGATTAAAAATAAGCCATCTAGCTCGAGAACCTCCACTAGTTTATTAGCTCACTAGTATTCTAGCCAATCTTAAGCCCGGGAAAAAGGGAGCATTAGGCGTGGGGATAGCGACCCTACCCCCAGAAAACCAGTCAAACTGCTACAGAAACTTCAACGCACAAGAAAAATATCCTTATGGGAGGTATGAATGCCAACCCAACTGGGAGACGGCATCATCATTGGTTGAAAGGCTCTCACTCGGACAATGGAGAACTCTTCACAGACTTCTCCTCCTATGTCTTCATTGATTTGGTGATTGGAGGGGGGGTGGTGTGTATAAAGATATACACAAGATGGCGTGGGCTTAATCTGACGCACACTCCAACTACCACAAAGACTTCATTTCAATGCCGCTCAAGAAAATGCAGCCTGCTGGACACGAAGTCGAGAAAAAGGGCTGATGTCGGCTCACACCATCATCTAGTTCAAGGAACCTTCAGGGTGAGGCTGAGAGCCTTCAAAACAACTGCGAACAGACCACAATTCATGTTCAACACTTAAAACTGAATTGAAAGATGGAACTACAAAATACACCTTCACTTCAGCCATCAGAGCAAACTAGGAAACACAACGTGGAATCACTGAGGGAACCTGTGTGTAAGAACATAGGAACTAACCCTCTGAAGGTGATGATCAAGGAAACGTGTGCGACTGCTGTGGGAAAAAAGAAGAGACAAGACAAAGAATGGCTCTCAACAGACATCTGGGAGCTAATCGAGGAGAGGAGGATGGTGAAAGAGAAGATGAGTCAATGCAGAAATGGACAGTTAAAGGAGAAGCTAGGTTCAATGTACACTGCAATGAATAAAGAAGTTAAGAACAGCGCTGGGGAAGACAAAAGATAATTCTACGACACTATGGTTGGCAACTGAAGCAGAACAGGCAGGTAACAGGTAAAAGAGACCTCAGAACACCATAGCAGATAACCAACCAGATCTCTATCCACGACGAGATCAGCAGAGACTAAATCACAAGAGGAGAAACGAAGAAAACAGAGGTGTGATCACTTCAAAGGACTCTTGAATTGGTCAGTACCTGCAACTCGTCCGGAAATACCAACGACAACATTTACACAACTACCAATGGACGCCAACCTTCTAACATAAGTCGAAATCTTGAGTGCAATCAACCTACAGAGAGCCAATTGGAGACGCAGCAGCACCAGACGACATGAGAACAAACGCTCACCAGTGATGACATTGGGTGGTGCCAGTTGCGTTAAGATTAAAAATTGGTAGAAGCTAGAATTCATGGGCTGGTGACTGAGTCGGGCCCCAGTGGTTGAATGGTCTACGAGCTTGTCTTGTACTCGGGAGGTCCTGGATTCGAAACCCGATGGGTGCGTACTGCCGATGAGTCCCAGACTAGGATGAAATGGTTCTCCATCCAGTACTCCAGTGACGGTTTTAAATAGTTCTCTAACTGATATCAATCAGTGGTCAAAATTGAAAACCATATCAACTCTTGAATATTAATAATTTTTGTTTTCAAAGAATATTTTGATAGCCTAGTCAAATAACACAAGAAACAGAATAAACATTTACTGATCCGATGTAATTCACATTCATCATAGAGTAACACAGATGTAATACAAGTGGATTATATGATAGATTTCTTGAGGAACTGATATCATTTATTAAAGAATCATTAACAAAAAAATCACAGAACACTGAAGAGAAGTTACAATTAATTATTTAACTATTGAGTTCCAATTCAATGGTTCACCACATAACCTGAAAGCTCTCACTCTGATTCCTCGTGGAGTTTTAAGTGCACAGTATTGACTAACTAACTTACTGAGTTCTAACGTAAAACTCTGAACAGAAATCCGCCAGTCCAAGTTGCCACACTCTATTATAATACACGCAAAGTTAGTGAAGATTCAAAATACAAAGGAGCTTTGATGAATGGATGTGTACAATAGAAACAATAATAACATGGAGAAACACGAAGACTTAATCGGACTGGGGAGATTAAAGAGCAAAAGCATCTGTGCCATTAAAAACGATATTGAGCTAGTAGTTCTTACAGTTTTAACAACTCTCAACCAGGCAGTCTATTCAACGGTCAAAAACTTCATGGGTTAATTCCATGAACTCTTTTCAGACCTAGTTAGCTAGCATCGCTCTATAAGGAATGTACTAGCTTGAAATGCCATTTCAATCAATGCAGTCTCACAAGCTGATCTACTGACTTGCCCTGTCCCTGTTACCTGACACTAACTTTATCCTCGATAATACTCACCATATTATACCAATTAACATGGGAGATAGGACTCGAACATCTCTGGTTGAAGACAGCTAGTCCCTTCAGATCTTCCACTTGTAATGGCTACGTCTCATAGTCAGAAAGAAAGACAAAGTAAACTACTGCTTAGTGCACACATCCTTCGATTGGTAGCGAAATAGCAGGTCGGTTCCAAAGACGACATAAGTTGACAAATATCACACGAGCCTTTTGTATCCGTGTTGAGATCTCGTCAGAAGCAATCAAACCACTGGATCTGATGCAACTTCTCAAAATAAGTGAAATGGTTAACACACTCAACTACTTTACTCTCTCCATCTTTATACAAGGAATAAATACAAACCAAGCACAATAAAATCCAGGACGCTGAGGTTACCACCCAGTGCCCCCCTCCCCAAGTTTTATTTGACTCTTCTACTAACTGATATCACTTGGTAATTATGAAATCTACCTTGGAAAAATAAAAATAAATAAAAGGACAGAAACTGTGAACAGATCAAACTTACTGTTCTTAAGTACAACTCTAAACGTGATGCGCATACTTCTACTTGAGCAAGTGCTTGTAGCGATAATTGATGAGTCCTATTCAAATGTCTACAAATGAATAAGGGGGAAAAAGGCGAGAAAATGATGAGAATTTAATCAACAGAAAGTTGATATTAGATGCTTGGAGACAATCAGCAGGAAGCCTTGGATCCAGGTTTTGTGGTAGTCGGTATTCACCAGTCAGTAAGACATATCCGCAACCTTGAAGGAACTCATGTCCCTTCTGAGATTCGAACCCGCACCATCCACTACACATCACACTAGTTACTAACTAGTGTTCAATCAAATTAACAGAAAGTGTTGTAAGAATAGATGTGTATGGATAGATAAATATAAAAATTGAGAACCAATACAATAACTCAACTTTTCGATATTATTATATATAAACCCTAAAAGTTGAGTGTGATTTTATTCAAACATTATAAAATAATTCTACATCTTTCAGTCAATGTATAACCCACAGGAATGGTTTGAACAGCTAGATTACCGAGAGAAAGCAAAAAACATAAACCATTCCGCAAGATATCTTTAACCCTTTAATCGTAGGGCCAATCACAGTTCCATATGAAATGGTTTTGAGCATGCATATGTATATTCATGAAACGCCATCAGACACATAAAATTTCAGTTAAGTTATAAAACACAGGACTACGATAACTAACTGTGTGATGTCTGTGTCTAACCGACGAAATAACAACTTGATGTTAAATGTTGTACGTAATCAGTAAAAAGTCAAATACTTTCTGATTGTTGATAACGCTTCTGACTGTAGCACTGAATCAAAGGGGTTTGAATTTCTAACAGCATTTCACAACCTACTTATGAGCACCAATAAGCATGAGATCTAGATCTGATCAATGGTCCCCCCCTATTCCCTTCAGCTATTTTAACATCAATATATTTCATTATATAAACACAAATTTAGCACCCCGATTACGCTAATGTGAAAGAATCACTTCTTGAGTACTCGTCTGACTGATTAAGTTTCAACATAGAACTTTGTGCAGAAACGCAGAAGTAGTTCAAGTGTTGCCACACTCCATATAACATAAACATAGACACACGGAGATACAGAAAAGAAAGAGAAAAGAGATTCAGAAAAACTACCATTGGCAGAAATGCACGGGAGACAGGATAGTAACATGGAAAAAGTGGTGAGTTAATGGATCGGGGAGATTATTATATAGAGTGAATGCATCTGTGCCACTGAGAACAATTTTGACCTATATCACCAGTAGTCTCCAGGCACTGGTTCTTAGCCTTTCGAGAAGTGATTTCCCGATCCCCATCTATGCATTCAAAAAAAAATAATTCAGTGAAGAAACATAATCCTTTTCAATTAGTTCCTCACATCACAGTTTTTTACTTCAAAATTTTTTACCAATCAATTGGTTATTTTAGTTAATCGAGTTTAGGTATAGGCGGGTGAAATTACGAGGTTAAGAGCCACCAAAACAATTAACTAATAAATGTTAGTAACTAGATATCTAAGTTTTGAAGGAGGGATGAAAACTAATCACAGAATTCAAAATAAATTAATTCTTGGGCATTGGCAACAAATTATTACATAGTCAAGAAATATGTAAAATAATGATGACTAAGAATAATAGGATGACTCAGAAGAATTACGTAAAATATAAGCAAATTAATAGAATTGGCTATAATCAAGTATTGGTTTGTAGGGATTTGGTAGATTGGTTACAGGATTTCATCATGAGAATTGGCCATAATCGTAAACATAATAAAGTAACAAAGTCAAAAGATTGTTACAAGGGGAGGGGAAAATTGTATTTAAAAACTTAATACATATTATGTAGTTGGCCATGGCAAAGATTTAATCTGACTACTCTTAACTCCTATGTCAACTAGAATTGCTTTAAGAGGAAGGCAATGACTTGGAATACGTAACACGCATCCTAGCTATCTCAATAGATGTAACTTTGCAGCCTCATAGATTGACTAACCGACCTTACCTAGTGCTTTGTATCCAACCTAATTATGACTATGTCACACCACTTAACACGGAAGATAGAAGGCAAACATCTGCGGTTAAAGAGAAGCACTCTCCGTAGGGGAAAAAGGGGAGTACGAAAACAAAGGGATTAACATGATGACTATTGGCTTTGAGTCTCAATAACTGAAACCATTCCTCGTTGGGATATACATTCTAAAACTGGCCACCAACACCAGGTAGATACACCTCGTTTACAAAACACCGAAATATAAGTTGACATCTTGTTTCTCCACAACAGTTTGTTGTATTATTATACTCCGAAAAATTGATAAGATGAATAATTGTAGATCAATGATCACAAACAGATTTGTGTGTTCAGTTAAGAGCCATATTATTTTATTTTATTCCTTTACGTTCCGAGTGAAGCATAGGGCTTCAAGCTAGAGGCTTGGAGTTTCAATAGCAGTGATTTTATTTTTACGGGTTGAGGCTGCTAACCTCACGACCAACCTTCCCTCTTTACCAGCCTTACTACCGGCTTAGCGAAACCTAGTAGTGTGTCGGCCGAGGATCAGACCCCGGACCACGTGGGTCGATGGCGGGTGTTCTACTACTGGACAACAGACGCATATATATATATATATATATAACCAGTCCAATTAGTTACTTAACGGCTTAACTTTCCGAGGAGGACAATATTTTGGTATCATAATAATCAATCGTTCGCATCTGCACAGACCAGCCTGTCTACCATCTTTATTTCCGTGTACTCTAGGTAGGAGTCAGGAGTGATTAGAAATCAGTATTCAGTATTTTGTCGTCAGAGAAGTTATTCATCGCCTTCCCATTGTCGGCTCTTGGGTGCAACGCTCTTAATAATGTTAGTCATATCGAATTTGAGCGGTCTTCGTCCTTATTGTTCACATTTCTACTACTTAGTTTCCCGACGAACATAAAATTAGCATATTTCAAATCAACCTTAATTTCCTTTTACTTTTTTCCACTCCCTCCCTTCCAAATGAAGAGAAGTTTCAGTAGTCGTGGTGTTGCTCCGTGTTTACGGCGTGTTGTTGCTAGCTTCCCGTCCAAAACTCTCCCTTTTTTCCGAGATTAATTTCGGTTAGCAAATTAGTTAAGGTTTACAAAATACGTTGAGTAGGAATAGAACCCGGTCTTTCCACATAGTTGACAATCATTCTACTACTGAGCCATCCATCCTATCAGAATTCTACCAAAATGCAATTTGTCATGCCTTAGTTCTACTGTTATCTAACCAAGGTTTTGATGAATGAAATCGACTCTAGTGCGAAAGAGTAAAGCATTAGACTCCTTTGAAACCCAACGCATCACATTACGTGTCTTAAGCTTTTTTTGATCTGTTTGTAAAACTTGGGTACTGCGGTTGTCATTATTATTATTGCTATTATTATTACTGTTATGCTACAATTATCATTATTACTATCAATTTTATTTTTATATTTTCCTGCATACCTCCTGACTAATTTATCAGGGTAATTATTAAGTTTTTAAGCTTTTTTTATGTGCCTCACTTCCTGTCTTAGATGTACCACAGTTCCAAGAAAATAATAATGACAACTTGCATGACAAAATATACAAGATGATGACTACATCAACAATAAGGAATTTAAATCATCACTAGTACTTCAATACAAAGAAAGAACTTCAGAAACCTTATGAAGAATTCTTGACAATGCAGGAATAAAAGTAGTATTCAAACCCCCCACAAACTCAATAAGAAATAAGCTTTATCGCTTAAAGGATCCTGTGGAGCCAAGTAAACAAAACAATTTGGTTCATCTAGTAGCCTGAAATGATTACTGGGTCAAATGCATAGGTCAAAGTAGTAGAACGAGGTCAGTCAGACTAGTGAAGCACAAAACCTAGCAAAGTTTACGTTGTTTAACCCACTTTTTAGATTTTCCTGTTGATTGAGTGGATCGAAGTGCTCGGCCTCAGGTTGACATGTCGGCTTCTTGTGCAAATGCTTCGACGATGTTGTTTCATGTAACTTGAAGTCAATTGGTGGATGGTGACTGGCAGTGGAATCCGGGATGCGTATTCCGTCCTACTAGGGACTCGTTAACTGGATGTATCTGAATTCCCCAATGAGCGACGGTGTTCTCATCGAAGCATCTGCACAAACAGCCGACATATCAAACTGGGATCGAGCACTTTGATTCAATCAATCGAAGGTAAAATCTAGAAGTTAAATTAAATAACTAATAAGACCCGTTGCACAAGAGGTGGCTCTTGAGGCCCAAGTAGTCTAGTTGACAACGTTTTGGTGTTTGAAACTATAGGCACGGGGTTCGAGCTTCGGTGAGATCATGATATGTAGTCACATGATGTGTGTGTGTATTTTTGACAGTCTGTTATATTTTGCTATGTGTATATGGGTCGATATTCCAATGTGCTTTTGTCTGTCAACTAACTAAATAAACATGTATGACCTTGTTATCATATGACATTACAACCAATCGTGGTAAGCTGTCTCATTGATATAAGAATAAAACTTGTGCACTGTGGTAGAGTATAATTCCATTATGGGTAAATTTTTGTTTTGATAAAGTCTCACAGTGTTATACAGTAATGTTTACTGATGACGTTTCGAGCACAATTTATCGCTCATAATCATATCAAGGTATTCACACGATTTCCTAACTTCATTTATATAGTTCCATTATTTTTCACTTGACTTGATTGGTAGTAGTATTTTCCATATTTCAGGTATGACTGATGACTCATTCCTATTGCATGTGTTTGGTATAGACTCGATAAACAAACAGTCATTGCATGATGTATAATATAATTTACAAAATACCATGCAATGACTGTGAGGTCAACTACATGGGTCAAACTAGTAGGTCAGGGGTAGTCAGATTGTCGGAACATAAGAATTTAGCTAAGGTAAGAATGGTTGACCCTAAAAAGATAAGTAATTTAGAAAAAGGCTCAGCAATTGCAATGCATGCATTAACACACAACCACACAATAGGGTGGGAGAGGGTTAAAATTCTAAAAAGTAACCTAGATAGGTGGAGAGAGAGGTTGATTACTGAATCCTTGTTTATCG